GGAAAAGGCCTGAGTTTTATGTGCGGGAAATCCCGGGGCGCTCCTGGAAGGTGTCCCCTCTATCCTGCTCCCCGTGCGGTGAGAAACGCCACGCCAGGACGGCAGTTGGTCACACTGGAGTCACTCGAACACCAACAGAGCCAGCAGCCCTTCAGAAACAGCAGCACTGGGGTCTTTACCACCGTCCCCTCTCCGCCTTCAGGCTGCCTGGATGGCACGCTGGGAGGGTCCCGAATCCATGAGTGTGTGCTCAACACAAAGGTTAATTTGCAAATCAAGGCACAGAGCAAGTTTGCTCTGCACTGCGTCCTCCGGCTTCCGGTGTCCACCTCTCCCGAGGTAAAAAGGCGAGACAGCGGTGACCAAATTCAGAACAGCGACTCCAGTCCTGAGTGTGCCACTGTCCAGGAGGGCTCCCGAAGACAGAGGACAGAGTACAGACTGCCCGGCTCCTCTGGGGCGCTCGGCATTCAGCGGGCACCGCAGGCCTGCACTTTAGTAACCAGCTCCCAGATGCCGCAGTGCAGCGCGGCCACGGACCCTGCTGAGGACCACGGATCTCAGGGAGAAGCCCCAGAAAAGGACGGCCTGGCCCTGCCCTGCTCTTATGTTCAAGCCCTGCCTTCCTGCCCCGTGCCCGTGGCTGCCTCGGTTTACCCCCAAAGGAGAGAGAGAGGCCACATCCCCTGCCCAAAATAAATGCCACGTGTAGGAAGAATCTCACGAGATGTGAGATCTGATTTTTTTTTTTTTTTTTGGCCCTGGACATGAGCAGAAATAATTCTCAGATGTCAAGGAGAGAGGAGTTAACCTTTTATTTTACTGTTACTCCATTACTGTGTGCTGTTATTTAAAATACTACTGACCGATATTTTGTTTTTATTATCTTTTCTTCAGATTGTTATTTGTGCTCAGATAATGCTAATGGAATAATGACGCTTTTAAAAAGCAAGATTGCTGCTTTTTAAAAACAGTACCTTTTTAGCACACACCTATAATCTTGGCATTTGATAGGCTGAGGCAGGAGGATTGCCATGAGTTCAAGGTCAGTCTTGGCTACATAATGGATTCAAGACCAGGCTGAACTACATAGTGAGTTCCTGTCTGAAAAAATTAATTTAAAAAGTGCATATCTGTTTAAAGGGATATCTGATGTCTGACATATCTGATTTTCCAATATCCTTTTGGTATTTACAGAAGTGACCACACTGAACAATAGCAAAAAACCCTGAAGTCAACCAGTTACTCTAACCCCGCTGGCACCTAAGCCACAGCAGCTGGTCTGATAATCAGGGCAGCAGGGCTGTGTTTGGGGTGCTTTCCGGTTCCCGGTAGAAGTTGCTGGGTGACAAATTATGAAGGCGTCAGATTGTGTCTTGGTTCACCAAGGGTAAGGTGAATGGAAAGCGAAGTTCTGTTTTAATTTTTTTTTTTAAGAAGATAAAACCAAGGAAAATAAAAAAACAGAATAAAACCAATCAAAAGAAAGTGATACAGGGCTTTAAAACCTTACACAACCAGCAATAGTTTCCATAATACCTCTCGTTGTCTTCAAAATAGCTGCAGATACCTTAGGACATAGTAAAAATCGATCAGAACAGAACAGAACAGAAACCAAAAGAACAAAACAATGAATGCAATAAAGGACTTCAAAACAAGCCAACAGCAAATCCAAAATGGCTACCGTAATGGATCTTGCTGTCTTTTAAATAGCTGCTCATGCCATCAGATTTAACATAATCAAACAAAAGCAAAAGAGAATAAAACCAACCCAACGAAACAAGGATGTGACATGGTTTCCAGGCGGGATCCTTCCTGGTGAGGCCTGGTTCCCCCATCCCCTGCAATCCTCGAATGGCGCTGACTCACGGAGAGAGGCCTGGCTCTGGCTGTCCCCACTCTGGCAGATGTTTTGTTTTTTGAAGACAGGGTCTTGCTGTGTAGCCCAGGCTGGCCTCAAACTCACGGTGATGCTTCTGCCTGGGCTCTGCACTTCCTCTGTAACCCGTCTGCCCGCTTTGCCTCTGCCTACACCTGTGTCACCTCTACACCTTGGTCAGATTGAGGATACCAGGGCGTCTGTCAGTTGCAGCACTTCTGCCAATGACAGCCAAAGTCCTTTTCAGGCCACAAAGCCCACTTTGGCCTGTCCTCTCTTTTGCTCACTTGGTCACAATAGTTTAGCTTTCTTTCTCTTCTTTGGATCCCCAAAGAAGTGCTAGCCCCAGGCCCTTTGCACATACTGTCCCTCTCCTTTGAGAGACCCCTAAAGCTCCTTCCTCCAGTGCTTGGATCTTGGCTCAGACGCCCCAGTGGTTGACTTTTCTGACTCCTCTCCATGAAACTGCTTTCGAAACTGGAAATTCTGCCCCTCACCCTTGGTCTCTCATTCCCTTTCCCTGCCATAGCACCTCCTGCTGCCTGGCTTGTGCACTTTTAACTTGCATTACTGGCCGCCTGCTCTGTGCACAGGAAGGGCAGAAACTTCGTCTGTGTCCGGCTCAGGCTGGCCACACAGGTGGGTCGGCACAGATCTGTCTCTGTATCCCCCAGGGGTTACAGGGGCACCTCGCAGCTGGGCAGCTTTAGGGAGTCCTGCTCATCCCGTCCCTCCCGACAGCTGTGTCCTCCAGGCCGCTGCCCAGGAGCTGATGGCTTTCGGGTTTTTTGTTTTTACTTTTGTCTTACAGCTCAACTCTTTTAATTTTTTGTACTGGGGATCAAACTCACGAGCTCACGTTTGCCAGGCAGGCACTGATGACTCTGAGCTAAATCCCAGGCCCAGACAATACATTTTGAAAGAAAGGCAGTGCATACATGTTTTAAAAATCTAACCTCGGAGTGTGGGAGAGCTTCAGCCGCACTTTTCCCGTCTTTGTCTCTAGGTCCCTCTGGGTCTTTTTTCTTTTTTCTTTTTTGTATTTTTATTTTAAACTTTGAGACAGGGTCTCAGAGTTACCAAATTGCCCAGGCTGAGCTTGAATTTGTGCTCCTCCTGCCTCAGCCTCCAGAATTGCAGATGTGTGTCCTCACACCTGGCTTTTTTTTGAGACCACCTTGCTCTGCACTGGGTTCCTTTGCTTGTTGTGTCTATTTTGTTCCACGTCAGTCCGCCGCGTGCAGCCTGGTCCATCTTCACACGTGTGACCAGCATCACTTGGGATTTTCTACCAGGCACGTGGGAGGGCCGAGCACCACGGCTGCGGCTAGGACGGTGCTGTTCTGTGAGATCCGGGACATCCGAGCATCTGCCGACGCTCCGTTCTGCTTCCTAATGGGCTTCTGCAGATTTTATGCAAAGTCATATTTTGAAACAGGTGCTCTAAGCAGATGCACCTCGTGTACCCCAAGGCCACCCTCTCTGCAGACCCGTGCGCCCCAGTTTAGAAGAGCAGGCCTGGCACAATGATGTATGCACTGCGCTAGGGGGCAGAGGCAGGCAGGTGTGCCGGCAGCGATGTTGGGAGCAGGCGGGGCAGAGGGGGGGGGCGTGCCTCGTGACAGTGTGGATTGTGGGGGTGTGGTGCAAAGGGCACCTGGCACCTGCTCTGTCCCGATGACTTGTTCCCTGTCTCTGAGGGTACAGACTCAGAAGTACCCCAGCCACTCACACAAACCATGAGCAGACAAACCGGGGCAGGTCAGGGTGCGGCACCTTTGGGGGGTGGCAGGTGAACATGGGCTTTTTTTTTTTTCCTGTGATACCATCTGGCCAAGTCACTAGGTGGCCCAGGCTGGGGTCACACTTGTAACCTTCCTGCCTCAGCCTCCCAGAATGTGGATTCCAGATGTGTCCTGCTGCGGTTTTGTTTTAAAAAACCAAAATAATAAATCGTAGTGTAAGAATGATACTTCCTCTTGCTATAGGCTGAACAAATTGTGTCCCCCTGAAATGCATCCGGGGGAGCCCCTGTGTCCAGTGTCTAGTATCTCTGGATGAGGCTGTGCATGGACACAGAGCTTTGAAAGGTGATTGCGTGCTTGAAATGAGACAATAACTGTCACCTGATCCTTCCCCATTTTTTGGGTACTGGGAATCAAACTCAGGACCCTGTGCTTGCCAGCAGGCACCATGCTGTGGAATGATCTCCCCAGCCTGGGGGGTGTCCTCTTAGGAAGAGGAAGAGAGGCCCAGCCTGTGCACTCAGGGAAGGACCACAGCAGCACAGAGAAAGCCGTGGTCTGCCAGTGGAACACTCTCGGGAGGGTCAAATATGCTGGCAGGGCTTGCTCTTGGGCTTGCAGGCTTCTGGACTGTGAAAAGCATGTTTCTGGGGTGCGAGCTGCTCCATGGTATTTTGTTCCAGCAGCTGAATCAAACAGATACAGTATCTGACACCCAGCTTTGATTTCTTCTCAGGGAAGTTCCAGACCCCACAACATCTGGTGCCTTAGGATAGGACTACATTGGGCATCTACCTATCCGTCCAACTCTCCACCCAAAACTCACTATTTCTTTTTTTTTTTTTTTTGGTCTTTTTGAGACGAGGTCTCGCTGCAGTTCAGGCTGGCCTTGAACTCACTTTGTAGCCCAGGCTGGTCTCTAACTTGCAGCAGTCCTCCTGCCTCAGCCTCCTGAGTGCTGAGATGACAGGTATGCACCACCACACTTGGTTCATAAACAGATTCTTTTCTTTTTCTTTTTTTTTTTTTTTTGTACTGGGAATCAAACTCAGGACCTTGCACTTGCTAGGCAGGTGCTTGTGCCACTGAGCTGTATCCCTGGCCCTCCATCCATAATTCTAGCCACCCAGCCAGCCCTCCACCCACCCATTCTTGCACACCACTGAGTGTCTGTCTCATCTAGGCACAGACACAACGTGGCTAAGTCCCTGCCCTCCACCTCCCAGGGATCGCCAGTTTCCCCTGTGGCAGAGAGATACTGCAGACATCCCGTTCACCAGGACTAAAGGAGATGTGTTACACAGAAATCCATGGCCCACATCAGGATGTGTAGATCATTCCAAATGTGAATCTTCTTCTCTCTCTTCTGCTTTCAGGTATAGCTTCTCGTGCAGACTGCCTTGCTTAGCAGCAATGTCACTGAGGTGGATTCCAGCCGTGCCTTCCCGACTTATGACCCTGGCCCGTGGTCCCGAGCACCCAGCACAGCCAATTTGGAACTCACAGCTCTGAGGCACTCAGAGCTATCGATTTCCTGCATGTCTGTTTGCAGAGAGCACCCAATTCAGAGCCGTGCAGGGGCGCTCCTGGTCCTGTGGGTGTTGGGAGCCGCGTCTGTGATAGCTCGCCTTGCGCGGCGGACGTGAGGCCTGTGGTAAAGAGCAAAGCCTGAGGTAGATTACCCCTCCCATCGAATATGTTAGTTTCCTGCTTACCGCGTAAACAACCCGCTCAACAATATAGTCTGCCTGGCAACTGATGATGTTAGCCAATCAGCTTGCCTTGCTTACTTTAACATGATTGGACACTGTACCCGTATATATACCGGTGCCACCCCTGGGCGGAAGAAGAAGCCAGGTAGAAGCCCAGAAGTAAAAGCCCAAAAGGAGCCGCGGAGAGCGGACCGGTAGAGGCTTTGGGGCAGACTGAAGCACAAAAGGAGCCGCGGGGAGCGGACCAGAGGAGGCTTCAGCTGGGAGAACCCAGGGCAGGCTGTACGGAGAAGGAAAATAAAAAGAAAAGGTTGTCCACTACCAGACTTTGTCGTGTGTCCTTCCTGCCGGCCGGGAGCGGACATCGACATGTGGGCATCTCTTGGTGGAGGGGGTACACGGTGAGACCGAGTGGTCAGTGTCACTCGCGGGCCACTGCTCTCTCCTACGGCTCCTCGATGCCTCTGGGTGCCAGGAGGAGCGGGTGTACCCTGTGAGTCCTTGCCATGACTCATCTGTCTCCCCGGCTCCCCGCACTATCTCAGGCGTGCTCTGGTGGCTGGTGGCAGATACCCATCATTAACGTGCCTTGTATGCTCCTTGATTCCCTCCAGAACCCTGGCCGTGTTCACAAACACGGAAAGGGGATCCTGCTCCGGGAAAGCCGTTCATCACCGCTGGCTGCCCCGCCTCCAGCGCCAGCACAGGGATGACTTCGGTTGCCAATGGGAAGAGAGTGCCAACAGGTATTTTTAAAGAGGTTCTCTCCACCCGAGGCTCGACAAGAAAATATCCCCTTTGAGCATTTAGTCACACACATCAAAGGCAACAACAGGCTCGGTCCTCATTTGCATCGCACAGGCATTAGATGTGGTCTAGTTACAGCGAGCCCCGCTTGAGCAGGCAGGAGTGCCAGTACTTTTTGAGCCTTGATGGAGACACAGAGAAAATGCAGCCAGGCAAATAATACATCACCTGCCAAGGCATTTTCCATTTTTAAAAGGACAGAACAATTTTACATTATTTCTGGGGCCTCTTGGTGCTAAATATCCCTTGACATTTGTTCTAGTGACCCTCACTGTGTTGCTGGTCCCAGCCCGCTGCTGTGGGGTGTGTGCCGGGGACCCCATTCAGCTTTAGGGTCTTGAACTGCTCGATGTGAGAAGGTTAAGTGGCTTTTTTCTTTTTGGAGTGCAGGCAGCCTGAGCTCAGCTCTGCAGAAGTGGCCAATTAAGATGCCACCCTGGTGGAGAGAACATGGCGTTTCAGGTGACTCGAAGATGCTGGGTGAAGATCTGACACTCCGGGGCTTGCTGCTGGTTTCAAGGACGAGGAGGGATGGGGTTTTGCAGTCCAGCCGCTCTGGGCCTGAGAGGGTCAGGAGATCGATTGGACAAGGAACTGTGCTCGGACTCCATGGTGAGACTCTTGGGAAGATACACACCACTTCTGGAATAAATCAGCACACGTGATTTCTAGCCAGGTGGCAAGGAAACCTGGTTTTCTGGACCTGGAGAATCCAGGTTGGGTGAAATTCCCCAAACCCTTCTTCCTAACATGGTCTACATATAACCGCCTTCTTGTCAAGTGTGCGGGCTTTTGTTAAAGGTTGAGCTGTGGATTTTATTGTTTTTAATCCTCAGCCCTGGCCGGCCTGAAAAATCTCAGGCTGTTGAATGATTAATTCCACCCTGCCCCAGAAAACGTTACTCAGCTGGCGAAAGGAAATAGCCCAACACGGAGGCAAAAGAGCAAACTGACTTTATCTGTGAGTGATTATGTTTGACAAGATGAAACAGAAAGAAATCTTTTGTCACTGGAGAAGACTGTGCTTTGAAAAGTCTTTGCACAAGTCTCAAGGCTGTGCTGTACACAGTGTGAATTAAAATGGAAATAATCCCAGCTCCCTTTTCCCTCCCAAATAAGGAGCGGAGAAACAAAACTTCAGTTTCAAACGTTCGCTACGGCAGAGTTTCAGAAATCAGAGCAAGACTCCAAGGTCTCCTCCGGAGCAGGGCTTTCATTAACAAGGAAATTCTCTTTCAAGAAACCTATTTTTGACTCGCTATTTACTACTCAAATTTTAATTTTCCCTGTAAGTATTGTCACACATGCAGTCTGACTCTTTGTGGGTGGATTGGTGAGGCAGATGGGAATCTCCTCTAATAAAAAAAAAAAAAAAAGGAGTCAGACTTCATTCTGAAAGGCTAAAAAGATCAGCCTCGTTAAAGTCACCCTTTTGCTTGCCTTTATCCCATACCCACGGCATTGAGGTGTGCTTAGAACTTGAAAGAACACGTCACAGGCGGGCAGCAAAACAGACTCTTTTTCACTCAACATGCGATTCAGATACTTTTGCTTGGCTTATTTTTGTTTTCCTTTACCCATTAAAAAATTAACCTTTGGGGCTGGGGATTTAGCTCAGCGGCATAAGCACCTGCCTTGCAAGCAGGTGGTCATGAGTTCGATCCCCGGTACCGATAAAAACATTAAAAAAAAATTAACCTTTGAAAATTCTGACCTTTTCTGCTTTAGACCATCCTCTCTCGGACAGCCCCATGGCTAGTGCCTTCCCTCCTTGGAGTCTTTGCTGTATGTCAGTTTCTTTTCTCTGGATTAAGAAAGTATGGTTATTTATTTATTTATTTATGTCTTTTTCCTTTTTATCGGTACCGGGGATCGAACTCACAACTGCCTGCTTGCAAGCCAGGCACTTATGCCACTGAGCTAAATCCCCAGCCCCTAAGAAAGTATGGTTGATATTTAAGAATTGTACATACTTAGGGGGTACGGTGCGATGTTTTGATACACGGATGCATAACGTAAAATGTCAGTTTCATAACAGTTGACGCTGACCTTTTTTATTTAAAAATCACACCTCCCCAGCACCAGCATGCCTGGCCCCTTCTCTGTGTTGTGCTTTTGGGTTTGCTTGCTTGGGCTGCCGACACACTGCAGCACAGTCTGTGTGCTGGGCGTGTTGTGGCCCTGTCCATTTCCTGGAATGTAAGCGTCGTGGGCTCAGGGACCTGGGTTGTGCTCAGGGACACACCTTTAATAGCAGAGAACTCTACTGGTCTCTCAGTAGGCGCTCAACAGATGTTGAATGTCAGGGGAAATTGTCTGAGACCTGTGCTCCCGGGGGCGGTGTGGAGAATGCCCTTAACTCCTTCCTACAGTTGAGCTAGAGACAGGAAATAGTAATGCAGGTGATGCCTGCCCAGACCCCCAACTGATGTTTACCCCACAGAAAAGAACTCCAAACTTGCTATTTTAGGTCCCACTTTTATTAACCAGCTTGCATCTTAACAAGCATTCTTGCTTTCTTATAAATAAACCTCTGTTCTTCAAATTTGAATTGGCTTCAACGTCTTACAGGTTCCCTCATTAATTAAAGAGCTGAAGAAAACTCTTGACTCAGAATCATTTTATGTTTGCTTGAGTCCTGGTTTCTATCTCTTAGGAAATTATGACAGAGTAAAACTGAATTATATTCCCTCCTATAGGAAATATCTTAGCGCGCCTCATGGTTTTAGTACTTCCAGATTTGTATATCTAGCCACAACCTCTCCGTGCTTCAGATGGATGTGTTCAGCTATCTTTTTGATATTTTGACTTGAAGGCATTTGAGAATTCCAAATTAAATTCTAGATTCTCACCTTCAACTACACTTGCTCCTCCTAGGTTCTTTAAATGCAACACCAATAACCCAATTGCTCAGGCCAGAAGCTTAAGTGTCAAACTGTAGCCCTAAGCATTTCTTTCTAGTATACCTCAGATTCAATCTGTTAGCAAAATGTGCACAATCTACCTTTAGTGTATGTTCCAAATCTGTCTGTAAGACGGCCATCTTGTTCTAACACCCAGCACCTGCTTTTATAAATAAAGTTTTATTGGAACATAGGCAGGCACATTTGTGCATACAATGTGCGTGACTGTTTTTGTCAGAGACCACAGGGGCTGCAAACCTTCAAATATTTACTCTGTGGTTCTTCACTGAAAAAAATTTGCTGATTTATGGTGTTTGGCTGCATAATAGTTCCCAAAGATATCAAGTCCTAATTCTGAGTGTAACTTTTTTTGTGTGTGTTTTTGAGACAGAGTTTTAGTATGTAGTTCATGTTGGCCTTGAACTCATTTTTGTAGCTCAGGCTGCCTGGAATTTTTGAACTCGCAGCAATCCTGCTGCCTCACCTTCCAAGTGGGAGTTACAGGCATGTGCCACCATGCCCAGTTTTGAGTGGAATGTGCAAACGCCTTTTCAGAAAAAGGAGCTTTGCAGAAGTGGTTAAGAGTCTTGGGCTGAGGGATCTGTCTTGGGTGATCCAGGTGGACCCTAAATGCCATTGCATGCGCTGATAGAAGTGAGGCAAAGAGTTTTCTTTGTTAATGAAGTTTTAATTTTGATCTAACTGTAGGGTCATATGCAGTTGGGAGACAGAATACAGGACGATTCCCTGCACTCAGTTTACTCTGATAGTAACATCTAGTATAATATCATAAATCGGAAGCTGGCACCAATCTTTTCAAATCTCACCAGGCGTCTGGTTTTGTTTTGTTTGTATTCTGTGTTGGGGTTGAACCCAGGACCTTCACACTGAGCTGTCTTCCCAGTCCATTTTAGGGTTTTTTTTTTTAACTTTTGAGACAAGGACTCAATAAGTTGCCAAACTTCGCAGTTTAGCTGGAACTTTCGGCTCCCCATCTCAGTCTCCCGGAGTGCGGGGACTGCCGGGGCCTGTCCTGTGCCTGGCTCAGTCTCACCGGCGTTATGGGCATGTGCTTGTCCATGGAGGAGCAGCAATTTTCCTACCCCCTGTGCTCCCTGCTTTGCCCTTGGCCTGGTCCCCTTCCTCTCGTCTAGCAAGTTCCTCCTACTGTGTGTCATTTTCCCTCACAAATCCACATACTATTTTTTTTTTGTCTTTTTCCTTTTTATCAGTACCAGGGATCGAACTCATGACCGCCTGTTTGCAAGGCAGGTGCTTATGCCGCTGAGACAAATCCACATCCTAAGGGAGAGGGGTGATATTTGTCTGTCTCAGTCTGCTTACTTCAGTTAATGTGATTCTCTCCTGTTCCACCCATAGCCCTGCACACGTAACGAGAGGGCCACACTCAGATGAAGACCGGACGCCAAGGGAAGATGAAGAGGCCAGGGAGGCTCTGCTCTGGAGCCCCTGGGGGAGCGTGGCCCTGCCGAATCTTCCTTCTGGCCCAGCAAAACCGATTTTGGATCTCCAGCTCTGGAATTGTAAGACTACTCTTCTATTTTTTTTTTTTTTTTAAATCGGTACCAGGGATCGAACTCACGACTGCCTGCTTGCAAGGCAGGCGCTTATGCCGCTGAGCTAAATCCCAGCCCTAGACTACTTTTGTTTTAAGACACTAAGGCCATCTGGCTCAGCAAACAGCAGTTTCCGTAAATGAATACCCTTTGTCTAAGCCCCTGTCCAAGCCTGATGTGTACGGTAATCTCCCCACTGCTCTGTCAGCCTCCTCTCTTGCACGTATGAGGCATATTCTCTCTCCACGCTGTGGCAGAGGGATCCTTTTGAAACACAAAGCCATACCTCAACTGTGGGCTTTGCAGAGCAACATCCTCAGGATAAAATCAGATTTCGCCTTGCAGTGCGAGTTGCCCTGTGAGCTGGCCTTGGGTTCTTCCCTGGATTCGTACGTAGCCCAGCAGCTTCTCCACAGGGTGGCTCCAGCCACACGCCAACTGGTCTCTGGCCTCAGGTCTTTTGAACTTGCTCTTTCCTCTGCCTGGAACACCCTGTACTCTCCCTGTAACTGCCTGATCTCATTCCTTGCCGGACTCAGCCAGAGCTTCCCTGGCCCGCCTGTCCCCAAGCACCCAGAACCTGTTCTCTTGCATCCTCTTTAGAGAAATCATCTTCAATCTTCGCCTTCTATCATGGACCTGTGTGTTTGTCATCTGTCTTTCACATTTTTATGAGCTTCGCAGGAGTGGAATTTTTCTGTCTTTTTTAGGGCTATGTCCCCAGACCTAGAAGCAGCCTCTGCTCTGTCATAAGCCGCTAATAAGTGTACAGTGAATAACGTACACACTAAATAAATTTAAACCATATTGAATGACAAGAAAGCTTTTTTTTTTTTCTGCTCCATCTTCAAAGATAACTGTATATGACATGCAGAATTCTAGTTATTCTGGCTCTTTTTCAACATATGCAAGTATATTTATGTGTCTAATAAACTTTATATACATTTTATCTCTAGATAGGAAAGCATTGTACTTTATGTTTTGTGCCTCGTTTTTTTTTTTTTTTTCAGTTAAACATTTAAATTGGAGATCTTTCCTGGACAGTACACATCGTTTTACCTCCATTGTGAAAGTGGACTCTTAATATCCCACAGCTTAATACTTAAAGAAAAATAAATTGCTTGCCTTGGTTGAAAATGGAAAGGCTAATGACCAGGAAGTGCTTCCATGCCTGCACCTTTTAATTTACTCCCGGGGAGGGTAGCGGTCTGTGTTTCCCGGTGCGCCTCAGTGGCTGCCCAGCATGGTGGCACTGGTTTACTGATAGCTTTTATTTTGAGTATCTGAAGAGATTATTTTATTTTCAACAGCTAAACAAAGTTTTCTTGAAAGACTGAAAATGGACATAAAATTGTCCTCTCCATGAGCTGGCCCTAGCCACCGCCTCGAATCAGCAGACAGCCGCAGTGTGAACAGGGGTTGGGTGTGCAGATGCAATTAGATTACTGTTCCCCCATACATCTTTTTGGGGTTCCCCCAACATCTCTGCGTTCTCAGCTGAGGCGTGATTTTGGGCCTTAGCACTGTTTGCTTTGGGAGTCATGAAGCTGTTTACACTTGTGCCCCTCTGAGCCACCAAAGCCTGATCTCTTGAACCTCTTCCCTGTTTGGAGAAGCCATTTCTTGGAATCGAGTTCAAATAAATGATAGAAACTACCAGGCTGTAATGCCAGAATGTTCAGGAGGGAGTAGAAAGACTGGTGTTAAGGAGAAGTCCAGAAAGAACTGGATTGATTCTGAAGTCGCATACGAAGGTGAGACACATCGCATCAAAGGCACTTAGATCTAATTCCAAGGAGGCCTCTGGAGAGCGAATGTGCCCAGCCATGTTTTATGCAGTAGCTGGGCAATGTGGAAAAGTTTTATGATTATAGCTATTGTTTAAGCAACCTCTCTTGCAGCCCCGACCATAAAGGATAACATTCTGTTCTAGGTCTTAATTGCTAAAAAGCTGGTCCTCAATCCTGCTGTCTTTTTGGACTTGGCTATCTTTCAGTAAATACTGAACGAATGAACTACTGATTCATATCAAAATTTCAACGGATTCCTGGTCCACAAACCAGGCCTTTTTATGTTCAAATTATGTTTTAAGTGAGCTGAAATTCAGGCTTTCCAGGCCCAGATATCTCCTCTATTTGCAGTATGTGACAGATCTCTACTTTGGCATTCTAACTGCAGACTTTCCAAGATTATGATGCCTGACATCATTGATAAAAGGAGGCAGATGAGTGCCTGATGAGGAAGAGTAAAAATGATTGTTTGCATGGTAGGAAAGCAAGGACTGTGGGGAAAGGTTGGGCCTTAGCACTGTTTGCTTTGGGAGTCATGAAGCTTATCCAACAAAGCCCACCGGTTTTATGTTTCATCATGAGAGATGAGGGGGTAGGGGATCTTTCTGTACCCTCATCCTCCTCCTTTTCTTCCTCCACATTCTGGTATTTTGAGACAGGGTCTCACTATGCAGTTCAGGCTGACACTTGACACACCATGTACCCAAGGTAGGCCTCAACTTCACAGTGATCCTCCTGCCTCAGCCTCCTGAGTATCAGGATTATAGGCGTACACTACCTTGCCTGGTTCTCTGAATTATTCTTACAACTGCATGCACATTTAAAATTATCTCCAAAATAAAAAAAATAATTAAAAACAAAGGAGGGGGAGAAAATTTTTGGAAGCAGAATCATTAACTATGTTTAACCACGTGGCCTCTAGGGAAGACACAGCTAGAATAAATTCTTGGTTGTGCTGTGCCTGGAAACATGGATGTGGTATGAGCGCTTCCCTTTAGGAGCATTTCAGCTTTTCCCCCAGGTTCGTCCCCACCGTCCTGTCCCAGCCTGGTCTTAGGAAGCTTCAGTAACTTTCAACCTAAGGAAGGGAGTCCCACCACTTTGTCACTCTCCCCACCAGTAATGGTAAGGTCACTTTATTTCTGAAAGCTGCTTGGGAAAGAAGGTCCTCCTATATATGTTTTTGAAGTTAAAGGTAACAATTTAATGTTCCTTTTGTTTACCTTACAGGTCCTGCATTGCTCAAAGGACTTTGGAGACAAAATGGGAAAAGATTCAGCAGGGTGCCTCAGTGGTGCACACTTTTTTCTAAAGCCCCCCCCCCTTTTTCTCATCAGCACTGGGGATTGAACTCATGACTGCCTGCTTGCAAGGCAGGTTCTTATGCCGTAAAGCCCCCGTAAAGCACGTGGTCAGGGTCTCAGTGCAATTCCTTTACTTAAAATGCCCCCCTCTCAGCTACTTTCCCAAGCAAACTGGGAAACACCCACCAACTAGCTCCCTCTCTCAGCATCTCATTCTCTAGCCCGGGGACTCTCCAGATTCTCCAACTCTGTACACTTAGTTACTGAAGACACCAAACAGTGTTGGTGTAGGTGAGGGTGTTTATCCAGAGTTAGGTGCTGTATTTGAAATTAAAACAAAAATTTAAAAAATATTCACTAATTTAGAAAAACCAATAAGCCCATGACAGGTTAACATAAATCATATATATATATATATATATATATTTTTTTTTTTTAAAGGGATAGCTGTATTTTCCCAAAACAAAAAAGAATTAGGGAAGAGTCATTATCTTTATAGTTTTGTAGGTTTCCTTTAATATCTTTTTTAAGGCCACTGGACTCTTCTGCATCTGTGTTCAACCTTGTGGATTACATTATGTAGTGAAGAGATTGCTAGGAAAGAGATCGTTTTTTTGGAGATGACCCCTGAGATAGACAATCTTTTATTGAAAACACTTTGGATCCCATGATCTCCTGAATGAACCGTGGAGTGCCTGGTACCCCACTCTGAGAACTGTGACACTGGTCGCTGCAGTGTTAACAGTGAGTCTCTAAGGGCCCAAGCAACGTTCCTGACCTCCTCCTCTGTGTTCCCTGTATCTTGCCTTGCTGCTGAGGCTTGTGCACCTGGTAGACTGACATGATCCTTGTCTTCAGGCTCCTGAATAGCTGGGACTACACGTACATGCCACCGCACTGGCTTCACACTTTTTAATTTAATGTGGCTTTTAGTTATAAAAGCAAGTTATATTATGGCTATACACTAGAAAATAGAATACATACAAACATGCAGTTTTCTAGTTATCATTACATCGGGTTTTATAAATGAACACTGTAACCCTCAACACTGCCCCATCACTGGCAACGGGTAAGCGTTTTTCTCATTCTAGTGTCTGAAGGTAGCATCATTGCCACTGTGTGGATATTACACAATTGAATACTCAATAGTAGCACATTTGAAGGCTTTCAGTTTTTGTTGTAATAAGTACAGTGGTCCTGCGAAGAATACCTTCACACATCCAGCTTTTTTGACATTTAGTGCTATTTCCTTAGAATAGATTCCCAGAAGTAAGATTACTGGGTCAAAAGATGCAGACATTTTTATGGCTTTTAATACATACTGTAAAATTGCTTTTCAAAAGGGCTACACTAATTTACAATGCCACCAACATTTCTAAGAAGGTTTCAGCACACAAACTGTCAACACAGGTGCCATTAAGAACGCTAATCGATAAAATATTGGACCCTAGTTGTTAAAATTTTGCATGTTTTTTTGAGGCTCATAAACTTAAAGTTTGTTGAAGAACGAGTGTACAATACAAAACAGTCTTTTGGGGCATCTTTATTTCTGGAAAACCTAGGAAGTTCTTACTGGCAAAGACCAGAAAAATGAACACATGTTAGGACTGGCACAAAATCCACTGTGACAGTCAATCTTAATGCCAAAACACTTAACGACTTCTTCACTGGTTTTCTGCTTGTCGCTAATAGTAGCAAAAGGAAAAAAAAAATCCCAAACCATAAAGGAATGAAACCTTCTCACTGCACACCGTACAAGATTAGAAACCTTTGGAGCTCAGTTTTTCATTCAACTTTACTTAAAAAAAAAAAAAATATCAGCCTTCTACTTTATTTGTGGTATTAACTATCCATATGCAAAGTCTCTAAATTTCGGGGCGTGGGCCATTTCCTGGGGAGCCACACATCCCGCGCCCCACAGGGCTGGGGACCACCGTGCACGTGGGTGTGTATGTGTGCGTGCGCGCGCGTGACCGCCAGATGTGGCCGCCGCGGCACCTGCGTCCCCTGCCCGAGCTCGGCTTCTCCTTCCTCCCCGGCGCCGGCTCGCAGGGCGCACCCGCCCCTAGCGCTCGCACCGCGGGCGCCGGGACCTCGCCTCTGAGGAGCCACGCGTGGCCGCGGGCGGAAGGGAGGAGGAAACTTGTCTCGCCCGGTGCGTGCTCCGTCCCGGCGCGCTCAGCTTTAACGTCCCCGAGGTTCGTTCGCGGCCTCATCCTGGGATAGGCGTCTATGACTCATCGGCTCCGGTGGTCACATGGGCAACGTGACCAAAATAAAGTTTCAGTATTTTAAGCTGCCAGAAAAGGGGACAACCAGGCGCACCAGGGAAGGGCGCCGAAGGTGGCGGCGGCAGCGGCGCGGGCGGGGCGCCGGGAGCCGGGCACCGGGCGGGGTGGGGCCTGGCGGGAGGCGCGTGCCCCTCCCCCGCGGCCGGCAGCGACGCCCGTACTCCCGGCCGTCCGGCTCTGGGGCGCGGCGCCGCGGAGCACTTCCGCGCCGAGGCCTCAGGTCCGCTCCCCGCCGGCGCGGCGGGCTGTGGGATCTTGGAGATCCCGGCGCGTCCCCCATTGCCACCGGGACCCCACGCGCCGGCAGCGGCTTCCCCGGGAACGTCCTTCAGCCCCGGGAGCACGCGGGAAAAGCCCCAGCGCGCCAATGAGCGGGCGCCTTCCTCATGACGGTCACGCTCGGGGGCGGGGCTTCCTTTCGTCGCTCCCGAGTTCCGGGAACCCCCTTTGATTGGTCTGCACGGCTTGGGAAACACTGTAGTGACGCCCAATCAAAAGGCCACGTCTCGGCCTCGAGGAAATATTCCGTGTCGGCTCCATCCTGGTTGGGCAGTTCTTTCGGACTCCGAC